TCCTTTTGGGGTAGGAATGGGCCTTTTGGGGATGTCACTCGGAGAGACAGAGTTTGGGAGGCTGCTCTTGGAGAACGGGTGGAATTCCAAGGCCATGGATTTTCAGGAGAGCAGCCCCTGGTGCTCATCCTGCCTGAGCATCCACTGGTGCCGCTTGGGGACTCCTCCCTGTGCATCCTGGCACGGCCCACAAGGTTTGTCCCTTCGTGGAAGTGCCGCTGGGTGTGGTGGCAGCAGGAGGGGGACGAGGGACGGTGGGATTTGGATCCCGGAGGAAACGCTGCTGCTTGTTTCCATGGAGACCCCCCCCCCTCCAAGAGCTTGGGATGAGGTGGATGGAGGATTCAGGGATGTGGGGATGTGGGCTGAGCCCTCTGGCAGGCGTGGAGCCCTGGGAAGGGAGGTGTGGATCAGGTGGGATCGAGGTAGGATCCATTGGTGTAGGATCCATTGGTGTAGGATCCATTGGTGTAGGATCCATTAGTGTAGGATTCCTGCTGTAGGATCCGTTGGTGTAGGATCCATTGGTGTAGGATCCATTAGTGTAGGATCCATTAGTGTAGGATTCCTGCTGTTGAATCCATTAGAGTAGGATCCATTGGTGTAGGATCCATTAGTGTAGGATCCATTAGTGTAGGATTCCTGCTGTTGAATCCATTAGAGTAGGATCCATTGGTGTAGGATCCATTAGTGTAGGATCCATTGGTATAGGATCCCTCAGTGTAGGATCCCTCAGTGTAGGATCCCTCAGAGCCAGATCCCTCGGATTCGGATCCCTCAGCGCACCCCTTGCCCCGCCACCACCCTTTCCCCTTTTCATCCCGCCCCATTCCCAAGCAAATCCTTTCCTATTGTCCCCCCTCCTCTCTCCCTGTGGTTGCAGATTCCCCCAGCCCTCCTGGACGCTCCACAGGATCCAAACTCCGGGAGCAAGGCCGGGCTTTTTGTCCCCGCCGTGGGAATTCCCGGCCGGAGGAGCCGCAGCTCTCCGGGGATTGGTCCCTTTTTTTCCCGGGGGGATATTTGTAACAATCCCCAGTGACCCTAATTAAAGGTGGCACTTTGGAAGGGAGATTAAAACCTGCGCTGGGCAAGCGGAGGAGCAGGATGAGACCCCCGGAGAGGGAGGAGGGGGGGGGGTTGGATCGAACCACTCGGCCTTTCCCACGTCCCTCTGAAGCTCCAACGGACCAAAACGCTGGAAGTTTGTGGATTCCTCCTTTTCCAGGGGGCAGGAAGGGCCCTCCCAGCCCGGTGTTAGGGGGGGCTCAGCCATGGGAAGCAGCCTCGGGGTTGAGGGACCTGCCACGAGCTTCACCTACCAGGGGTGGAGACAGCCAAGGAAAAGGAAGGAAAATTGGGATTTGTGCTTCTGGAGGGGTGAGTGAGAGGGGAGGGAAGTGACTTGCCTTGGAGGCCTCTCCCTGATTCCTTGTTGGGTGCTTGGGGGCTTGGACAGACGTGGCGGGGGGGGGTGGGATCTGTTTCATCCCGGGTACCCCTGAGGAGCGATGGTTGTTGTGGTGACACCAAAACCAGCCCGGGAAGGAACGGGGTGGGTGGGGGGCACCTCCCAGGCCCAGGGGCTGCTGAGAGGGGGGGACAAGCGGCACAATTTACTTGCTTGGCTACACCAGCACGCCCTGTTGCCTCCACACAATGGGCGCCTTCCCCCAGGGAAGCTCCCGAGGACTCGGGCTGTGGCCGCTTCCCAGGCCTTGGGGACCTTGGGGACAGCGGGAGGTGGGTGCCCCCAAAGAGCAGGAGGTGGAACTTCAGGAAACTTGGTGGTTTTTGTTCCGTGGAAAAGGTTGTCAGGCACTGGAAGGGAAGAAGGGAGAGGAGGAGAGAGGGAACGGCCTCGAGATGCTCCAGGGGAGGGTCAGGTTGGACACGAGGGGGAATTTGCGGCTGGAAAGGGTGGGGAGGACTTGGCAGGGGAGGGAAAGACCCTGGAGGTGCCCAGGGAAGGACTGGACGTGGCACTGAGCGCTCTGGGTTGGTGACGAGGTGGGGATGGGGCACAAGATGGTTCTTGGGGGACTGGGTGGTCTCAGAGGGCTTTTCCAACCTCAGGGATTGTGGGGTTCTGTCTGGGAGGAGAACACCTGCCCAGGTGTGTTTGGTGAATTGTCCTGGAGTTGCAGACGCTGGGAAAAGAGCACGGGGGGGTGTAAATGGCAGCAGGCACTCCCTGCTCCTTTCCCAAACCCTCTTGGCCAGGGGGAATTGCTCAGCCACCGGATTCTCCCTCTGCCCTTTGCTCCAAGAGGGTTTTTCTCCGGGAAGCCTCACGTCCAGCTCCCGGTGCCGAGAGGGAACAGGGAAGATTTCCCTCAGGATTCTCCCTGGAGCCGTTGGAAAATCAGCTTTTTCATCTCCAAACGCTTGGATCTATTTATTTTTTTTTATTTTTATTTTTTTTTTTGTCCCCTTTGGGAGCATTTGAATACAAAAGCTGGTTGGTGTTTGAGGTTCAGGACTCCAAAGGCAGCGCAGAGACGGCGGCGGCGGCAGCGGCTTTTTCCAAGCTTTGAACCAGCCCCATCCCCAGAAAAACAAAAAAAAAAAACATCCAGTCCGGACTTGAAGATGTCAGGAGATGGAAAAAAGAAAAAAAAAAAAAATCCTCTCCTCCCCCCTTGGGGAGAGCTCGTTCTGACGGGTCATAATCGCCTCGCCATTCCAAACGGGAATTTTCCTCCTGGTTTGCATCTGGCTCCGGCTCCCAGCCCTCGGCAAGGCGAAGCTGCTTCTCCTGGAGATCAGGAATCCATTCCCAGCCTCTCCACCTGAGTGCCCCGTGCTGCTGAACCGGCTTTTCCCCCCCTGCTCTGCAGGGCAAACCATCTTTTTTTTAACCCCGTGCTGGAGCAGCCGGGAGGGAGGATGATGGAGCTGCTTGCTGCTTCCAGCGACAGGACGGCTGCTCGAATTCCAAATTATCCTCGGAAAAACTGCTGGGATGGGGGTG